CCCGAGTTGTTCTATCAGTTGTTGCCGTGCTCACACCCCGTTACTTTAAAATCAACTGTCGCCACCCGATTTACTAATTTCTTGAACACACCTGACGCTGATGTCACATGAATTATGTGAATGCGCAAAGTCATAAACAGCTGTGTGAAAGGGCCTTCGAGTTTCCACTAAAGGGGTGCAGCCGTGCCTTATGAGAGCCAATTTTTCCAAAGATCTAACGGCAATTGTGACCAGTTCAACCGTGGCAGAGGTGTGAATTCACGATAAAGGACAGTCATTTCCATCTATTTTAATGGAATAAACACAAATAAAGTTGTGTCGCGAAGACAAATCTAAACATGGAACCGCTTTGTGATCAGTCAAACAAATATGGCTATGGAGCCACATGCTCCGGTAAATTTCCATTCCACTGTTTGTCCTAACACAATATTTTTTGGGACCTATGAATATATTTTGGCTTCATTTCAACGGAAGCAAGTTTGCTTCCATCAATATTTTTCGGCACCTATGAATATATTTTGGCTTCATTTCAGCGAAAGCATATTTGCTTCCATCTTGCACTTTTAAGCTTGAATCTCTTGACGGATGCAGAAAGTGGATGCAGTCAAGTCGTCCTTGACTGGACTGTTGCTATGGCGCATAACAAAACGGCCTCGTCCATCACAAACGCAACACGGCCAACTATTAGTCACTCCACATATCTTCTGCAGTCCTTTTAAAGAGTGGGAGTGAGATAGCATCCAGTCATTAGCCAGGGCTTACCATTCCAACGCAATGTCCCTGCACACACACACACACACACACACACACACACACACACACACACACACACACACCAAGTGATACGTAAACAGCCAGGCAGTGCTCCAGGAAATACGATCCCCACACTCCCACTACCCTTAGGCAGGATTTACACGGAGGAGGATGTTTTCCAATGTATCCTGCTGGTACTCTGTGTGTGTGTGTGTGTGTGTGTGTGTGTGTGTGTGTGTGTGTGTGTGTGTGTGTGTGTGTGTGTGTGTGCCCTAATCTCCTTCCATTCTCTTTGTTAACTGTTCAGTGGTCTAAAAACAACGTTTTGCAATCGAATTCACACGGGTGAGGCAGGGTGAAGAGGCAAGGAGAGAGGCTTGCTGTGTGTGCTGTGTGTGCGTGCGCCTTGCGTGGGGGTTCAGGTGGGACGGCAAGGAAGGCGGGGCAGTAATTTCCTGAAACGACGAATCCCATTTATTCGCTGAAGACTGCCTCAATTGCCTTGCCGGCGCACAAAGCTTTTTAATGCTTTAATTACGTCTCAAAGGAGCGGGGCAGAATCGAATTAGAGGTTGTCCTACATTTAAAGTGCTGTGTGTGTGTGTGTGTGTGTGTGTGTGTGTGTGTGTGTGTGTGTGTGTGTGTGTGTGTGTGTGCGCGCACGTGCATCTTCACGTGCACTATGTAAATTGGGCATGTGAGCAAGAGGCTGTGTGGGCTGTGTGACTGACTCACGGCAATGAATATTTGTGCCTCATACAAGCACCGTCCCCCCCTCATGCCCAGGCCCCCCAAAACACACTTCCACACACATGCACACCATGTATCGTTGTCACACATTCACATACACGCGCACACACCACTGGATGTTGGCATCCACGGCGCTCACTGTACAAGTCAGCCAGGCACGCTGTTTCTTGCACAAAAACATTTCTGGCTCCTGATGCATGCAGCCACCTTTTCGGTCACAGCAGATGGCACACGTCGCTGTATTACAGCAGCGTTTCATTCACATTATGGCCGTCCATCTGCTGTTAGGGCATCAGTAGAGCACCTTGTTTTGGCCAGTGGCACAGTGTCACATTGACAGCTTTTTGGGTTTTTCTCTGACTGGAAGGTGATGACCGTGTATACACATTGTGCTCAGCCCAATTCATACCCTCACCGACGCCTTTGGCAGCCATCCTACAAGTAAAATAGTCCCATTGACTGATTATGAATTTCTGTTTTAAATGGTAGCAAAATCTCTACCGCTCTGAAGCCAGTTTTACAAATTTGGTACGCATGTCTCATAGAAAAAAAAAAAGGATGACAAAAAATGTCTCAGAATCCCATTTTATTTTCTAATTATTGCAGAGTCTCAATGTAATTTATGACACGTGACAATTTGACATTTCGGTACAGATTTTAGCATGAATCATGTTAGTTGAAACGCATGATTTGCTATGGCCGGCCGGATCTGGCCCCCGGGCCTTGAGTTAGAGACCTGTGGCAGAGATGCCTGCCCTGGCGGTCTGATTCCCTTCAAACTCTGTAGACTGCATCTGGTGTACCTCCCAACATTTGCGTGCAGCAGGAACGTCTACCCGGGGCTGTTGACTGGAAACATACACAGAAAAAAAAATGTGGTGTTTAAAATGGTTGCGCGCACTGCGCTACACTGGGAGGAAACAAGATCTGGGGCAGCAACTCCTGCCTTGGGCTTCAGGGCCAACCTGCATGCAAGTACACACACATACACATACAAACACACACACACACACACACGATATGCAAAAGCCGAGCGGTGCAGGGAGCAGTTATCGCAGCGTGATGTGCGAGGCTGCCTGCAGCTAAGTGCCTTGTGTTGACACATGCTCAACGTGGCACAGAACCAAATAGCCGCGGTGCTGTTTGATGAGTTTGTTCCTCGCCAGTACGGTCCAGAGAGATAATCGAAAAGCTTATTTGGCTTTACAGTCAGCGTCTCTAAGCAACAGCTAGAATTATTATTTTTTTGCTGTGCGTGTGCGTGCGTGCGTGCGTGCGTGCGTGCGTGCGTGCGTACTGTTGTTTTTGTGTATCATGCCAACTCCAGCGAAATGCCTGACATTACAGTTGTGCGTTAGCGCATGTGGCTCGTTGTCCAAGTTTATCTTTGAACGCTCGTTTCCAAGTAGCTGTTTAATGCCACTCCCAGTTGGCCTTTACTCTCAAGCTAAACATCACATAAAGACAATGACTAGTTCTGTGTTTGAAACAAGCCCATGGCTTTGTCTTGTGGTCCTTTTAGCTTAATGGTAACAAACGATGCAAAACGTTATTGACGGTCGAACAAACGGCGTCGGTCAAGCAGCAGATATTTGAACACAAACGGTGGCACAACTCATTGTAGACAGACAAGATATGCTCTCAGGCATATATTATTTGTCTTTTGTCCAAAAAATACTAATATGACAGCGACTTATTGAGTCGGTTGTCAAACCCGTCTTCGTGTGTGTCTTTGTCTGTATTATACTGCCCCCAGGCGGCCATGGTACTCATATCAGAAGGAGCAGCACAATGTCATTTAAGCAAAAAAAAAAAAAAAAAAAAAAAACTGTGGCAAAAACGGATGAATTCTTTACATTCTATTTAATTTTGTCATCACTGTATGGTTTTATAAAGTACATTAATATTGAGTGCTATTTTGATAATAACTTTTATGCTGCATTCCGATTTTCTGTCTGTCTTGCAATGAAATACAAGAAAAAAAAGACACCCGTCGATGATTCCGACCATTATCACAGAAATACTGAAATATTGAGCAACACGGTCGCAAGGCTGTTTGTGTCTCTCCCATTCGCTGTGTAAAAGTTATTTACCGTGTTTAATCGTTTGACTTGTGAGGCAAGCAGAACGCATTTTTGCAACCTGCAGTCGTTACTATTGTGCCCCATGTTGTCCGACTACGCTCCTGTGAATGCTATCGGGCCCTATTTTCGAAAGGGAGCAGAGGACAAGTCCTTCCTAATAACGGCGTGCCAGTTTTAGTGGGAAAATGTCACCTTCTCCCACGTGAGCCATTACGCACGCGACTGAGGAATAATGAGATTTTGCCCCTGGTTGGGTTTACACAAGCAGGTCGTTTACGATTGGCTGCGGTTGAAAATGTGGACAGATTTACAATGACAACAAACGACATCAGTCGAGCGTGGTGATAGAGTTATTGTTCTTGGTTGCTATATGAGGCTCTGACAAACTGCTTCGGACATGACATGAAGGCTAGCTGGTGCGTGTTCGTTTCCAAAGTGGCGCTCGGGGAATATTTGTGGTTAATGCAGCTGCCCCCTTGTGTGATTAAGGGTGTGCTCACACTCGCCGTGTCGGATTTGGTCACGATTCCATTTTGCTCTCCTCTCCCTCACCGACATGTCAACGCCGCGTTTAGGTATGCCATCATTTCATGTTACGACGCTGCATTACTGCGACTTACTTTCGTGATTGTGGATTGTTTCTAGTCGCTGTTTACATGTTTTGTACATCGTGACCGAGGTCACGAAAAACTGCTGTGAGGCGCACCTGCCTAAACTTAGGACACCTACATGCGTGTGACTACTTGGTTTTGCGTTTTTTTAACCGCAAACACCAACTTTCTCAAATTGTATGTCCCCACTGAATTGAATACAAATGTCATTACCGTATTTTCCACACTAAAAGGTGCTCTATTTCTGTGTTCAACTGCGTAACCGATCGCCTTAAGTTTGAAGTCTGCGTTTTCAGCAATGTCAGCCATTTTGGGGTCGAAATATTACCGTAATGACCATACACAAAGCGCATCGGATTTTAAGGCGCGCTATGAGCTTTTAAGAAAATGGAAGGCTTTTCGTGCGCCTTTTAGTGCGGAAAATACAGTCCTCATTTCCTACCTCCCTGAATTTTCTGTTTTATTCTTATTATCCTTATTATTCTTCTTATTATTTTAACCTTTCAGGGACTGGGTTTACTACAGCGGACAGTTTACCATATTATCAGGTTACAGGGTGCATGAAAGGCGTAAATACTGTTTTTTAAAAAAATCATGACAGGGTATGGGGGTACATCACAATTCTGTGCTAAAATGTGTAATTGGATGGGAACCGCATTGGCTAGCGGTTTCTTTTGCTGATCACTGGCCTGAAACCTTGAATTGAAAAAGCGCTCTATCTCCCGCTCGTGTTTTTAATTATTTTTTCCTCTCGAGTCGCCCCTCCCACCCGCTTTTCACACTTTTCTTCCTCCCTTGGCAGGCTTCATCGCAGCAGCTGAAATTCACAATGTCCGACTCCTGTGACAGGATCAAGGACGAGTTCCAGTTCCTCCAAGCGCAATACCACAGGTGAGAAGACATAAAAATGACCTGGCCTTGATTATTTCTAATTTAATCTGTCACAATGGCTTGGGGGAATCATCGTTGGAAGTGTTGTGGCCTATTTCCAAGACATGGTATCACTGAAATCATGATGGTTGATTAATTTTCTTCTCTTAAATATGAAAAAAAAACCTCATTAAAAGTGCAGTCGTGTAATTGCTGTTGTCCAATGAAAATAACGACATCATTCAAACTTGTCCCTTTGCCTCTCTACATAGCTAATCAATGTCTTAAAGCTAATCAATTTCTCCGCGCCTTTAAAACAAACGGGTTGTTTCAACATTTTTTTTTAAAACATTTTTTTTATGTTCCAGGTGAGTTGTTTGTAACCAAAAGGCATTTCCAGGTTTAGTATTCCAGCATACGTTTTGTTCATACTCGATTCCTACTTTTACTTGCTGCATGGCTATGAGACCTTTCTATCATGTAATTACAGCTACCCTGGGCATTGCCTTTTTATTTTATGCCCAAGGAAGTGCATTTACCGTTTGAGGATGTAATCTAATTGATTCCTCGCTTTACATCCGCCTCTCCTTGAAGTTATGCTACCTTTTCGGTTACGTATCTCCCTATTACGGCGTAAGAAGTCTCCCCAGAGCGACTTTTAGAACGCTAACCGATGTGTTTGATGGCAGTTCTGAAAGGTGAGACATCACCGGTTTTCTTTTAAGCAGGTTGACTTCCTTCCTGGTTTGTTCCTGTGTATTTGCGCGTCTACTGTCGCAAAGACAGATGAAAGCTCGGCCTATTTCGAGTGTAATGACGATCCTTTTTTTTTCTTTTTATTTGCTGAGGTTTGCGACTTCGCAATAACAGCGTGCATGTTTTTTTTATTTTTTTTACTTTGGTCTTTTTTTTGTGTGTGTGTGTGTGTGTGTGTGTGTGTGAGATTCCCTCAATGGCGAGCAGCAGCATTTAACCCCCGTCAGCGAGCCAAAGCACAGTTGAAAGAGCTGTTTTTTGTGCCGGTTGACTTGGGAGGGCGATTTAAAATGAGGGGAGTCACAGTGGAAGCTTTGTAATGATATGCTGTATGTTGTGGAAGCCTTTAAAAGGCAAATGTACAACAGGCGTTCCCCTGGGTATAGCAGCAGCCGTTGTATCTGTCGCCGTCTTCCTCCTCCTCCTCCTCCTCGTCTTCCTAATTCCCCTTTCCCTCAGTCCCATGCATAAATAGATCAGGGAATACATCAATCAAAATAAAGATGACAGCGCAAGCGATTTAGAGACGGAAGAATCGCCAATAAAACTCCATCAAAGTGTCTTTGGAGAGCAGCGGTGCATGCCCGCCGGCTGATGAGCGCCAATCGCAGGAGGCTCACAGCCAATCCCAGGTAGACCGGCGGGGGGAAGTGGGGGAGGCTTGTTGTCATGACGACGCACCGCAAAGCTGACAAACGTACACATGGGAAGCAGGAAGTCGATGCCATGCTTCTCAGCGGGAACGTGACATTGACGTTTGTTTCAGCTGTCTGTGATGCAAATCTACCAGCGGAGCCTTTTACTTGTGATCTGAGTTTTTCAGACGAGGTGACGCAGCATGTGGTTCCTCGTACACTTTGTTTCGAGTAAACGTCAACAGTTATGTTTGTGATCATCTGGCGTGTCTGTTATGAATATTCTGGAAGTCTAGCAGCAGCTGTCGTGTTTTGCAAATGACCGTGTGCACTGCATTATGTGTCTTCTCTATACAATTTCTCCTTTAAAACAATAACTCTCATGTTTCCTGCATGTTTAGATGCATTCCTTTCTTCAGAGCTCGTTCTCATTAGGGATGCGGGTGAGCTGAAGAATATCCTAGCTGACCTTTTGTCAAGAAGCATCTAATCACAGGGCACATGTCTATTGACAAGCAACCATTTCACACTCACATTCACACCCATGGATAAATATCGAGTCTATATTTGACTGATTTGATTGATATATACTTGACTTGATATTGAAACCAACATGGATGTTTTTTGTAATATGGCAGCAAATTGGAATAACCAGAGAACATATTTGAAATTTAGATTGGGTTTTTTTGTTTTTTTTGGGTCTAACAGGCATATTTGTGCCGCAAAATTTGTCAATAGTGCATAAACTTAGTCTGGATTGTTTGTTGGAAAAGAGTCTCGTGTCCAGGATGTTTTAGCGCTGCCGAGTGGCAATTAAAATGCTCATGCTGACCAGCATGAGTTAGATCTGGCATTGTGACACAGCCCGTGTTATAACTATCACGCATCTTTCATTGCTGCTGACAGTATCGATGTACGCTCAGTATCAAGCAGGTTTTAGATCACTCTGCCTTGTGCTTGTGCATATCTTTACAACATCACAGCCTTATCCATCCTCGCATGGGACCACACCTTATCAGACCGGCGTGTCGGCACCGGCTCCTTCAATCAAACGCACGCAGGGTGATTTTTCTTCTCCCCCGCACCCCCCTGTCGTGTTCATTTTACCATCTGGCTGACTTGTTGACGTGTCCTCCTTTTTGTCCCGTCGCCTCGTGTGTCATCAGCGCTGACGTGATTACAGTTAATGGCCTGTGCTATATTTAGATTTGCCTGCTTTCTGCTTTAGAAAGCAGATGTTTTAGCACGGTTGTTTTCTCGTTGGATTCCGCTTGATGATCTCGGGAAGGTCAGGACGAGGACAGTAATGACGGTTAAGATGGCCGACAAGGGAGGAGGTGCGGATGAAAATGAAGGTGACGAGGGATGAAGTGACCGCTGCTGACTGTGTTCGACTTGGTTCCTCCGCAGCCTGAAGCTCGAATGTGACAAGCTGGCCAGTGAGAAGTCGGAGATGCAGCGTCATTACATCATGGTGAGTGAAGCCAATGTTTGTTTGTTTGTTTGTTTTGTCTGAAGGTCAACTGTGTCAGGCTCTCAGTATACAAGTGTGCAGTAATTTCTGTCCATTAAACTGACTTTGATCCGACGGCTTTTGCTGCCTTGTTTGCTTTGTGGCTAGCTGGCTTGTTGCTAACGCTGGAGCCGTTGCTAAACGCTGACAAACAGGCAGCGTACGATACAGTGTCAATGTTTTTTTTTTTTTTTTTGAAGCGCCCTTAATAAGAGATTGAACATTATATCAGGACATGTTCTTGCCACGAATTACTTGAAGGCCTGTTTGAGCTCTACTAGAGATATGAGTTCAATTCATTCCTTTCACTCCATGCTTGTAAATCAAAACATTTGTTTCTCAAATCATCTTTCCGCAATGAAATAAACAGAAGGGCCAATAATCCACAGTGTGGTTCTCGGTTCATGGCGAAGTTTTGTCCCAACAGTGGCAACGTAACCCGACTTTCGATGTAAATCAAAATGCATCGTAGTATGCTAACCCAGTTGTAAACTCGCAGAAGTGTAACACCTCTAGCCTTAAATTTTATATATATATATATATTTAACATCCATCAACCACCCGCATCATGAGTAGTAATGTTGTATCTTAATACGGATAATGCCTCCCACCCCGAGCGTCTTTTGACGAATTACTTGTACCCTGTGAGTTGAACAACAACCCTGCTAAAATGGTGCAGTGTTTGTCCAGCTTGAGCGTGTGTTTCGCCAGTCTGATAATCAGTTGATCCAACGAGCTAATCGCCCAATCCCCCCAAAAACAAGATCTCAGTTGAAATAGAGCACACGATAATCCTCTAAATGCTCGCAGCCCTTTGTCTCTCCTCTGTGCTCCCTAAACAACCCGCTCCCCCTCCTCCTTCGTCCTTTTTGTCTCCCCACATACATGTTCTCACACACACACACACGCGCGCGCGCACACACACACACACACACACACACACACACACACACACACACACACACACACACGCACACATGCTCCACCTCGGGGCTAATCTCATTGTTGCTAGCAATGTAGCTCTGTGATGTTTTGCCTCTAATTGATCCTCTGACTGGCTTTAATCTCATCTAATCTGCACCGCCACACTGCTCCCTCCACCATGAGACGCACAAACACTCGCACACACTTAGAGGCCTCCCCTATGTCTGAACGCACTGAGCTGTGCTCACACATACCGCAGTCAAACGCAAAATTATGTAAAGCGTGTTATTTCGTAAAAGGTCATTTTTTTTTCCTTTTTGCCCGAAGCCAATGTGGCGCTTTAGTATCACATGTCTGCCCAAATTAAATGTGGCCCAATGTGCAAGTTGCACTGCGCCACACCAAGTGCTAATATGCTCTTACTACAATGACTGTGTGTATTTGCTTGGGTTAAGCCTTTTTTTCACCACAAAATTGTAATTTATCTACCAATAGTTTCTGAATTACTTTCATAAAACAATTGGGTTGCGTACACAAGGTGTGTAGGATGCAGTCAGTACATTACCCATTTGTGGTTTACTATTCGCAAATTCACCTCTTCATGTTTTTTTTTTTTTAAACTTGAAATCTAATCAGATCAACCCTGTACTGCGCTTGTGGCATTACCTTTTTGGCCTTTCTTTTTTTGTTACGTATGGAGGATATTCAGACATAGTCAACACGCTCATTGAGGGACTGGTGAATAAGATTTTCTGTCGCTTGGATTATTGGCACAGTCGAGGATTGAATGCGTCAGCACTGCCCTAAACTAGAGCTGATGTTTGCTAGCAGGCTAGCCATTATGTTTCGCTCCAAAACAAGCCAACAAAACATTTAACACATAACTGAGAAAATTCCTTCCATGAACCTGATCATCATGTTTTGCTTCTCAGTCTGTCCTGGGGCCTATTGTTAAGAAACATTATCATATTGTCTATACAGTAGTTGTCAGACAGCAAGAGTTGCTTACTGAGACTGACTGATGGGTCGAATACTCCACATCCCCTTGAATTTTTTTTTTCCTACGATTTAAGCAGTGTAAAAGGAACATGTTTTGTGTATGTTGTATTGAGCGGGAATGTACAACATAATGCTTAAAGCCTCCCTTTTCAATCACTTCTGCTAGCAAGCCTGGCCTTGTATCAACTCACACATACAAACCCACTCACGCATTCACACACACACATCCACACCCACAAAACCTTCTCTAATAGCATATCAGGTTGCTCCCCCACCCCCCCGGTAGGCAGCACCTCCATTTCCCAAGCGCTGTAATTACTTTAGGGAGCTTCCACACGGGCCTTGTGTGCTACACTGAAAAGCACAGACAAAATGTGTGTGTATGTGTGTGTTTGGTGTGTGTGCGCTTGTTTGTTTTCCAGTCACAGAGCCAGTCCCTCCTGCAGACTGAGTGAGTGATTAACTGGGTTTACGCCTAGAGGGTGGCCCTCTCATTAACACACACACACACACACACACACACACACACACACACACACACACACACACACACACACACAACACAAGTGCATTGTGTATTGTCGCTTCTTTTCTTGCTCACATCCTGTTTGCTGTTTGTATCTGCTCATTTTACCAAATCGTGACCAGGATGTCGGGTGCTCAAATGGGATCGCCGATGGCCAATTTGGACATGAGGTTTACAAAATGGACATTCCTGCGTCACGTCTTCAAGAAAAATGTTTTGTGTCACAATATTGTTGCCTCCTCACATATACAGCGGTACATCAACATCCGAGTGACCCATCTAAGGAGTTTTTCAGACTGCGAGCCTTCATTCCATCGATTTTTCTCGAGATGTCGGAAGCATACCTCACAACAACCAATAGTTTGGTGAATAATTCACAGTTCTTCAAAAAGGAAGCAAAGTGCATGCTCTGTTAAAGTAAACATAAAACAAATAGAATTACATATTGTGCATTTGACTACACCACATCATTTTGACGAACTAAATTCTACTAGCTTAATGCTAACGCATTGTAAATCAGCATAGATGGGCTAATGATGTATGTATGTATGTATGTAAGTATGTATGTATGTATGTACAGTATGTATTATATTGCCCGCTGGTGGGTGGCCAAAGCACCTACACTGGAAGGAGCAGCACAATGTCCATTGAATTGGGAATTTCTTCATTGTGAGAAAAATAGTTTTTTTTTTTTTTTTTTAATATATATTAAAGCATTAAAAATATGAGCGGGACTGGTGGAATTCCTTACATTGTATTTATGATGTTTTTTGTACAGTACAACACTGTGGAGTGTTATTTTTCTTACCTGACAAACATTTTCCTTGTGTTTTTTTTTTTTTTTAACCCTTTAATTCAGAACGTGTCAGCGGCGATAGTTTTCGCGGCGACACTTGTCGGCACCGACACGTTCAGATTTAAAGGCTCAGGTTGTAAAGGGTGAAGAAGCTGGAACCCATTAATGGCCTTTCCATTCATTTCAATGATGAAAGATTGCTTGAGATAGGAGTATTTTGAGTTACGGGCATGGAATGAATACAATTCTTGAGTCGAGGTACCAGTGCATATCAAAACGTGTTTGACGCTAAGCTAAGAGAACTGTCTGTCTCTTCTTTCCATCTAGTACTATGAGATGTCCTACGGGCTCAACATTGAGATGCACAAACAGGTGAGTCATTGCTTCATTATATTGTTGGTTTGGAGAGCATCTTGCATTTGCAGATAGATAGAGCTAAGTGACCACTAAGAAAAGGTATGACTACCTTGTCCCAACCCCAACATTGCACTCATTATTTTTAATGCAGGATTTGGACTTTGAACTAAGAAAGAGAAATTGCCAGTCTGGTCCTTACTCACCATTATCCAATATCAGTAGTGACACACACTCAAGAGGTGTAAAAAAGGAGCCCGGATGCCCGTAATCCAACTTGCAATGTTTACGTAAAGGATTGCGGTAGTGTGTTAAGATAAACAAGGGATGGGAAATAGCACTTTCAATAGTTTTCAAGAGACCGTTTTTGTCGATTTGCCACTTCAGGATAAAGTATGGAATTGGTGGTGTAGTGTTACATGTTTACTTCCTAACATGCGGATGCGCGGGTTAAATTCCCTGCTAATGCCTTAATACCCAACCCGGACACAAAATGGGTGCTTTGTGTCAGGAAATGCGTCTGGTGTAAAAACGGTGCCAGACAAATCATGTGAATGACTCACTGATGTGGCCCCTGAGTGGACAAGCGAAAGTGTTAATTTTGCTGCATGCTTTGAGTGGCCAAATGTCAGCAGTCCAACTTGAAATCTTAACAAGAAGTGAGATTCATTTATTTTCAGAAAAATGCAGGTTTGAAAATGGCATTTATAGATTTTTTTTTAATTACCAATTCCCCCTTTAATGTTTAAACATCATCTTGTTAATTTTGTCATTATACCAGTGCATACAGTATTTGTCAAAAATGGACTTTGTAAGCATTTCTCTTCCAGTGAGAACCAGTAAAGGAACACTAAAATGCTTTTTACCAGACAGCAGTAATTGTCACTGCTTTTGAGACTATTTTTGAGGGATATTTGTACAATCTTAACACACGAGAAAGGGAAAGAAAATCTTTGCTTGTCAATTACAGGGAACCAAGGTTTAGGATGCGGAGGGACTTCTCACCCGTGCTTGCTCATACGTCAGCTGCTGTGGCTGAAGCTTGCGGAGTAATTTATGCCTCGGCTGCAGGAGGGAGGAGAATGATTATGGACCTCATCCGTTCCCTCAAAACACACATGCGCATACAATCTGCATGATGATTGACGGCACACACTGGCAGGCATATGAGGAGAACCATGTCGGCTTTGACTAATGGACACATGCGAAAGATCGGCGGCCCCCATGATTTAAACCACTACATGTATATGCACACGGCTGATGTAAAGGACTGTCATGCATACGCACACACACACACACACACACACACACACACACACACACACACACACACACACACACACACACACACACACAAGGGCTGAACAATGAATCCAATTCAAATCGAAATCACAATACAGTGGAATGCAATTTCAGTATTCGGCCGGTCAGTAGGCTTTATTTATCCATCCATCCATCCATTTTCTGATCTCCTTTATTCTCACAAAGGTCGCGGGAAGTGCTGGAACCTATTCCAACTGTCTTTGGGCAGTAGGCGGGGGACACCCTGAGCCGGTTGCCAGCCACTTGCAATGCACACAGAGACGAACAACCATCCGCGCTCACGCTCACACCTCGGGACGCTTTTGGTGTTCCCAATCAACCTGCCATGAATGTTTTTGGAATGTGGGAGGAAACCGGCGTACCTGGAGAAAGGCACAGGGGGGAACATGCAAACTCCACACAGGAAGGAATCGAACGCGGTACCTCTGCACTGTGAGGTCGACGCACTAACCAGCCGACCACCAGGCCGCCCGCTTTATTTATTTATTTTATTGATGTGTGATTTATGTCTTTATATAGTGTCGAGATGAATTCAGTGCTTAAGAAGCGCAGTCCACAGGTTTTACATATGAAACATGAAAATGAATCGATAATGCCACAGATTTGTTTTTACATTTATTGTTATCTGATTTTTGTGACGTCGTAGTGAACGCCTAAGACTGCAACACCCAAGTGTTTTGCGAGTTAACAACTCATTGATGCAGATCAATAAACTGTCTTTCGCAATTAATCCGCGGTTAATTAGCTTTTATTTTGCCGTCAGCCTAACCTGCAACGCCAACACATTCATATACAATAAATCCGATATTGTTTAAAGTGACAGGTCCATTTCTCGGTTGTGTTTGTTAAAAGATAAACAGGAAGAGGATATTGCAGAAATAATCTCATGTTAAATCTATCTCTTTTATCTGGCTGGGATGACACCTTCGGGGGAAGGGTGTGCTGCTGCATACATGTGCTCACTTGCTCGTGTGGTTTCTTTTGTTCTCTTCTGGGGGTGCTATGTTGTGTGTGCGCTCGCGTGAGCATATTGGAGATATTAGTGTGTCAGCCTGCGTGTGATTTCTTTGTGTGAGTGGATGCAGAGAGGCGCTAGTTCCATTAGAGAGTTGAAATGGAAGGGGACGTGCGGAAACGAGCACGGAGGAGCGTTCATGTCCTAGGCCCATTGTGCGCCGACACCCCAACCCCCTCTACCCGAGCCCATCCCTCGCCACCTCTGACTCTATTTCCCGCCTCACATTCGTTCCCACCTTCACTCACTCGCTCATCGTCTCCTCCATTCAAGAAAGGCTTCTTTCTCTCCTCTCCGGCCGTAAACTCTCGTCCTACCTTTCGCACCTCTTCACATTTTCTTTCCGCCCGTCGCAAGGTTCGAAGTCGGCGGTGTGTTTGCTTTTCCATTTTCTTTCTCAGAAGATCTTGGAAATTTGATTCGTGCTATGAAATGAAAAACACATGCAACGGGACCCTCAACGGCCAACACAATCCCTCCGAATTTCAAAACAACCACTTTTATCTGACTGAACAATAGAAATGGAAATATTAAATTACAGCGTCGCATGGTGTACAAGTGAGCAGCATATCTGTCTCGCAGTTCAAAGATCCGGGGTTCAAAACTTGGCTCAGGTCTGAAAATTTTGAAATTACCACACCAGATATTACAGGACCCTTGACTATTTAAGTCGTTAGCCCAATAGCATCATTTACAGTCAATTTTTATTTACTCTCAAGTACAAAAAAAATCACCAATATGCTTGCTAATTTTTTTTCTCCCTTTTTCGTGTCACCAACACGGTTGCCCGTGGGCACCAGCTAGCATCTAAAGACCACATAAGCTGCCCACGGGCCTGTTCTGAAAATAGCTTGCAAGTAAGGCGATTGTGATTTTTGACGAAGGTTTCAGAAGAAAGTATTTGGAAATGTAAACACTGGCAAAGTGCATTAGGAATAAAGTGTTGCTGATTGGTATTTATCGGGCTCGTAATTATTGTGAGAAACCATTCACATGATCAGTGTCTTCCTATGCTTTGGCCGCCCTGATCAATATTTTCTAAGTTCCACTTTTTAAATTGAACAACTGAAATCAATTCCGTTTTCCACCATATTCGCATTTATTGAGCTGCACCATCCATCACTCATTGCAAGTGCGTGTTGTAGTTCACGTGACTCTACTTGAAGATGTGCTCCGCTTTGATCCCCCTTGTGAACAGCTGCCTTTTTACAGTTAGGGCTTCTTTAAATTGACCAAAAAAAAAAAAAAAGCAGCAGCAAAGGAGTCTCCGAGCGGAATTAACGATCCTTGAAGCGTCGTGTCCATCCAGCTTTCGATGTCCACTTTTCTTCTTTCCCGATGCGTACGATATTCCCGCTGTCAGACGCCTCAACAACACTTGAAAAAGTCTGCCAGAGAACAACGAGTAGAGAAAGGGAGGGACGAGACAACAAAGCCTGCGAAGATGACAGGGAGCGAAGATAAAAGCGGCGGGAAAAGTGGAATATTTGTTAGCGTGCGATGAGTCCCAGGAAGACGTTTTCAAGATTGTGTGCGTGTGTGGGAGCCGAGCAGAGCGCCTGATTGGAGGGGGAGGGGGTGGGGGGGGAATCGTGCTCTGCATATCTAATGACTGCTACTCTCGCCTCATCTCGCCGCCGATTATGCTCTAACACCATTAGCGCTCATTTGCATATCTTGCTCGGATTGGGTGATTAGCAGCCAAATGTGATAATAGACCCGTGTGTGAGGACGATAGCAGGGATTGTGCACAATTAGTTTGTGTGTGTGCCACGTGTGTGAAAGGGGAGGGTTTGAGAAGGTCATACCTGCTGTTGCTCACACGAAATGAGCGTGTGCTTGGAATCACAAACTGGCTGTTTTCATGTGTTGAGGGTTGAAAGGTTAAATCCTGGGCTATCTTCTGGGGTTTTTTTTTTCCATTCTTTTCAACACACCCTGTGAGAACACCATCAAAGATGTTATGGACTGCTTCTATGCGATCGTTGCAGCCTAAAAATGTGTTTAAAGCAATGCAGTTTTGGGCAGGCAACACATTGGTGTTGTGGTTAGCCTGTCTGACTCGCAGTTCGCAGTTTAGATCTCAATTTGCATCCTGTGATTGGCTGGCCACCATTTTACCTGGAAAGATTTAGATTTATTAACATGAAAACTATGACTTAAGTGCGTCAACCTCACAGTGCAGAGGTACCGTGTTCACTTCCAGCTCCGGACTCCCTGTGTGGAGTTTGCATGTTCTCCCCGGGCCTGCGTGGGTTTTTTCCGGGTACTCCAGTTTCCTCCCACATTCCAAAAAAATGTTTGTCAGGTTGACTGAACACTCTAAATTGTCCGTAGGTGTGAGTGTGAGCGTGGATGGTTGTTCGTCTCTGTGTGCCCTGTGATTGGCTGGCAACTGGTTCAGGGTGTCCCCCGCCTAGTGCCCGAAGACAGCTGGGATGGGCTCCAGCAGGCCCCGCTACCCTTGTGAGGAAAATGGATGGATGGATGGAATATGACTTTTCATTTGGAACATAATCCACCCATCCATCGATTTTCAACACCGCTTATCCTGAACAAGGTCGCGGGGAGTTGCTAGAGCCTGACTTTGTGCAGAAGTCAGACTACTTTTTATCTTAGAAATGTGCTTTTATCTTGGAAAAAAATTGACTTAAAAAAATACTTTTATCATGAAAAAAATGAACAAGAGGAGGTAAATAAATGTCACAAGCAGCTAGCGCGAGAAGCTAACGTAGCAGTCTTCGTGTTTACCGCAGGTTCCGACACATGTGACCCCAATGCACGAGAACGAGTCCACCGAAGATCTAATTTACATTTTTCAGAGATTAGGTCAAGATGAGGCTCTCAAGCCAACAGCAATGGGAACAAAAACAGGAAGTTAGAAACTGCAACGTGATCAAGATAAAACTGTTTTAGTGAAACAACATGTGGCTCATTGCTTCAGGTTATTTGTGCTCTCTTTGTTCCATGTAGCCTGTAAACAATTATGATCACCTGATGGCTCCCGTTTTTGCAATTAAGTGTGATAGCAGCTGTCCTGTTAGTCATCAGAACTTGTTGTAGACAGAGTTCTAAGCATTTGCGCTGTAAAATGTTTCTTCATCCTTATTGGAAAGACACCTCGTGGTGTTTCCTTACAATATAATATAGAAATTTTTTTTAACAATAACACCCCCCTCCTTTTTACTCCACAGGCTGAGATTGTGAAGAGATTAAACGGGATCTGCGCACAAGTCCTCCCATACCTGTCTCAGGAGGTAAACACACACACACACACACACACACACACCGATGACCCTCAGGCCAAGACCCTTCACATCCGGGAGTGAGATCACTCTCATTCCCTCCTCGTTACTTCTACACCGCACTGACCCCCTCGCCTCGCCATTCTCAATTTCCCACCCCCACCACCGATCATACGTGTGTGTGTGCGTGTGTGTGTGTGTTCGCATGTAATAATAAATAGCTGTGTGCTTCAGATAAGCTGGGTTCTTATCTAGCTCACGACCAGAGGGTTGACCGTCACCCATTACTTCACACCATCCATTCACTGATGTCACACCGGGCTTTTACCGTATGCATGTGCGTGTGTGTACGAGCGTGTGTGCGTGCGTGCGTGTGTGCGTGTGCGTGCGTGCGTGCGTGCGTGCGTGCGTGCGTGTGTGTGTGAGAGAAGAGCTGAAAGGTGTCTGTGTGTGTGTTTTTGGAAGATTGATATTGATCCAACCCGTCCTTCCCCTCTTTCATTGCGTTTCTCCTTTTTGGTGCCACCCCCACCCGTGTGCAGCACCAGCAGCAGGTCCTGGCAGCCATCGAGAGGGCCAAGCAGGTCACCCCCCCAGAGATGAACTCCATCATAAGGGTAGGATGATCCGGCACGCCCTGTGGGCTTGGCGAGCGCTTTATAATTGCTGCGATAGTGCATGTCATTGTCATTTTTATTCTTTTTATTCCATGTGTTATTTTTTTGGGGGAGGTGGGGGTTGCAGGCTCCTCTTAAGAATTTTTATTTATGAAAAAAATATACACTGCATTCTCACATTTTTTAAATCTATCTGTGCTGTAATGTAATAATATTCTTTTCTCTTGAAAAAAAAATACATCTTGATTTAATTTAATTCAGGAAAGTTCCGGCTTTTTTTTCTCAAAAATGTCAATTTATTCTCATAATAAACTACCGATATTTATCTGTAAAAGTAAAACATTATTTTCATAATATAAAGACTTTTTTTCCCATTTACCCATGCCTTTAGTTGGATGAAATTTGACTTTGTAATTATTTTTTTCTTTGAAGAAGAATATGACTTTTCCCACATTGAACTATTCCATCCTTGTCGGGATGTCACGATTTAGAATTTTATTCTTGTCAGGAGATCATGATTAATAGATTTTTTTATTGTAAAAATAACAACAAAAAAACGGACTAGCTCCATAATACTAAGACTTCTATTCTTACAATATTTGATTTTTTTTTTCTTGAATATATGGCATTTTTTCTTTCACTAAAAATTATGATCCTAGAACATTGGTGTCTTTTTCTTCGGGGAAATATTTAGATTTTATTCACAATATTCAGACTTAAATTTTCCCGGAAAAAAATAATCGGAATTGATTGTGGTGACACCACGCGTGATCCCGGCGTCTGAACATGTTTCAGTCAGTTGAGATGTCAAAAGAGCAGCGGTGGCCATTAGTCTTCCGTGGCTTTTGGTGACGGCTGCACTTTGATGCATTATTTAGAAACGCGACGTGTGTGAGGATCAGCATGCACATGCAATTTGTCAGTCAGCAAAGACTCTTGTAAATGTCTTTGCTTATGCCCATTGATGTTGTACACATATTCTCTGTGATGTGATTTAAAAAAAAAAAAAAAGTCTGAATGTGAGTAATGTGTGAGCATAGGGCTGGGCAACGCATCCATAAAAATCAATTCAGATTGAAATGAACTGAAATGCTCTCTAGACTTTGTAAATGTGGTTACATTTTTTTTCAACTTTTCTGTAAAGAAAAAATGTGAACGCATATTTTATTAAACCAAGCACATGTCCGATTTTTCCAAAAGGTATGTTGGGCACACACACTAAAACAACACCATCCCAAGAGTGACGCATGATGGTGGCGCTATCATGATTTTTTTTTTTTCTTCTCAGTTGTACCTGGGGCTTAGTCAAGGCAAAGGGAATTATGAACAGTTCCAAATATTAATCAGAGTTAGCATAAAGCAATCATGCTTGAGCTAGAAAGCAAACATACTGTACGTCAGGAAAAGCCTACTAGAACATCTGAACTTTATTTGGCGTGAATCATTTACTTTAAATGAGTTTGAGTGTGATTGGTTGATACAATAGCCTGACTGATTGATTAATTGACTGATCGACCAATATTACCTCATTTAAAATTGTCACAAATCTATTTTTTTTTTTTTTTTATCTTTTTCGCAATTGGTAGTTATTACACATCACAAGACAAGACAGAAGCCCAACAAATATTACAGAACAAAATATTGTAAAACAGTTCAATGTTCTGCCTTGGCCGATTTATCGTTTATCTCAATGATATGATGCCAAATATGGCAAGTGGCCTAAAAAAAAAATCCAGATCGGATGTGCCCCAGTTATTACTGAACAAAGCCACATTGAAATGATCTTTTTCACTTCAACCTCTTGAAAAGATGTTAAAATTTCTTGTTGAGGTCACAGGTCACAATGTTGGTAGATAGTTTTGTTACATCACAAAAACCTGGCATTTGATCAGGGGTGTGTAGAATTGATTTATTTTTTTTAATATCCACTGCATGTTCGAACCAAAAAAAAGAAAAACGATATTGCAGCTGGACAGGTGTAGATGAATTTTTCTGTGAATAGCCGAGAATTGGTTCCACAGAAAAAAAACTGTCAGTACATTTGTGAAAAGCGAACCGTGAATAGGAAATGTGATTTTTGTTTAAAAAAAAAAAAAAAGAAAGAAAGAAAAAAAAAACTATTTTGTCGCAAGTCCTTATTGCCCAGCCCTGTTAGCGAGCCTTCTTTGTGTTCTATTATGCATGATCCATTAGCGCCTTGGCGTCGGGGGAAATTGCGTTGGATTCTCTTGATGCGCATATTGAGTCTAAGTGGCGTGCGCTTGTGTTCCGTGTAGCAGCAGCTCCAGGCCCACCAGCTGTCTCAGCTCCAGGGCCTGGCGCTGCCCATGACCCCCCTGCCGCTGGGCCTGAGCCAGCCCAGCCTGCCCGCCGTCACCACCTCCTCCGGCCTCTTCTCCCTCTCTTCCCTGCTGGCCTCCCAGGCACAGCTGGCCAAGGAGGAGAAGGCCTCTCGCGACGCCGCCGACAGCCACCGCGAGGAGGACGGCGACAAGTCTGACTAAGCGGTGCCCCTCCTCGCCCCCGGCCTCTCTCTATCTCTCTATTTCTCTCTCACTCTCTTGAGGTTTCAACGCGGAGACAGCCCCCCCCCCCCACACACCCCCCGACTTTCACTCTTCTCCACGGAGACAAAATGGCCTCCCGAGTTTCTCACCAGACTCCGAATTTCTTCATATTTTCATGACTCTTTTTTATTGAATGTTGAAAAAAAAAAGCTTCAAGCTTCATGCTCTTTATTTCTCCTTCCTTTTTTTTCCTTTCTCCTCCACCTGCCTTTTTTCTTCTACCTACATTTATCACGACTGGCGCTGCGTTCAAGACTGCTGGGAAGTAGGGAGTTCCCACCCTCTATCCCCCAGGCATTCCACCGGAAAGTAAATAAACAATGGGCAGTCATTATAATGGCTTAATCAATCCGTTAATTGATTAATCATGTCTTCAAGTGAGGCACAAAGGAGTGCACTATGGATCGCATTCGTAAAACACGGATGTTAGGTTTAGCCAAGACTCTAAATTGTCCTTAGCTGTTAATGTCTGTTTGTTTACTTGGCAACCAGTCCAGGTTGTACCCAACCTCTTCTCCAAAATCAGTTAGGATTGACTCCAGCTCACCTGCAACCCTCATGAAGACTTTGAATTAAGGCTGAACGATTTTGAAAAATAATCTCGTTGTGATTCCCCCCCCCCCCCCCCCCCCCCCCCCCTCTTTTCTCTACTTTATTAATATGTGATTGTTTTTTTCAAGGTCCTCCTCCCATACATTTTTAACAAACGCTAGCAATAAATTAATCTGTATCACACATTTAACAGATTTAGGATGCATAAATGTACTGGTACGCCGAATTAAAAGCTATATACCAAAAAAAAACAATTAAGCCCACCAACTAACCAAAATTAGCATTTTTTTCTTCCCAAATTGCAGCCTTTACAATTTGAAAATTTCCTTCTTCCACATTGCGATGTCAATTTGAATTTGATCAATTGCTCCTTTTTTCATGCAGAACAAACAGCTTGTCGGAAAAGCCCCTTTCCATTATAACCAATACATCTCATTCAGATCATCTGATGGAATTTACCTTATATCTGAGATTGGAAATGTCCGTTTTCCCCAGTTTTCTTGAACGCAGCAGACATGGTAAACACAGGAGTTGTTTGTCTGGCCTGTAAAACACACTTAAGTATCCTATAAACTTTTTTTTACCCCCCCTCATGAGATTGCACGTGTCGGAATCTTTGAACTCTTCTGCAACCCAAAACAGCAGCACCTACAGAAGCATGTAAACAGCCCTGGAGTCGGAAACGGGTTGTATAAATGTCTCATTTCATCGACGGTGTTGTCCACCCAGATGGACTTAAAAGATTAAGAGTGATCTTGTTTGACATCTTGCTAACCAAAACAGTAGCACCTACAGAGGAGGATCTAGCCTTCATGTAAAAGGCAAGCAGGGGGGTCAGTGTGGAAGAGGCGCAAGACCTTAGATGATGGTACGAGGGACTATTAGGGTCACACTGGGGGAGAATGAGAAGAACGGATTTAGTTTTTTTTTCAACTCATAAGATCCTGACTTTTTTTTCTTTTCATAATATTGCAACTTTTTCTCGGCAGTTATTCTTGCAAAACTGCATAGTTGTCATCTTTTTGTCTCAAAAAATGTGATTTGTCATGGAATTTTTTTCTCTCAATACAATGATTTATTCTCAAAAGAATATATCACCGAAGAAAAAAAATCGGATCCTTTTTTTCCCAAAAACATGCAACCATTCTCATAGTATTTCTTTCTCAAAAAATATGTCCTATTTAATCTTAAAGATTTTCTTTATTCTTGTACAGTCTTTATCCAAGAAATACGACTTACTGCTCATATTGTCTTTTTTTTTCTTTTAAATTACTTTCCATCTGAGAAAAAAAGTTGACTTTTGGCGCCCCCCCCAAAATATGAATTTATCTTCATTCCATTTATTGACTACCTTAAAAAAAGTGACTTTTTCCCCCGCTCTTGATTTTACAACTTCATAAAAAATTGTCTTATCCAAAAAAAAACCTGATAACATGATAAGCTGTCCACTGTGGTCACCGCTGTCCCTGAAAGGGTTAAAATAAACACATAATCAAACTTTCTCTCAAAAAAATAACACTTTTTATCTTTCGGAAAGTATGACTTAATTTACCACTTTTTCTCTCAGAAATATCCAACTGTTATTCTGACAACGTCAGCCTCATCATATCGGTTTGTTCCTTTTCAGTGTAGGGCTAAGGCCATATGATTCAAAAATGTCTCATGATATTTCATGTCAGTCGATATCGATATGGATTGAAAAAAAATTGAATTCACTGGTCAATTTCAAGATTAGGAGCACTATGTGTTTAGTAGGGCTGGGCGAATCACAATATAGGTGTCTGATGTTAGTTTCTCAATAGTTAATTTTTTTTTTCATATCCAGAAAAATACAAAAAATAAAATTAAAAACACAACTATCAAAAAGAAAAATACCAGTCAAAATATCTGGTAGTAAAATATGGTTTTGTGTTCCAAATTTCCTTATGGGTGCTTCTAATTCTGACCCAACCTCATAGTGGATCCTCTGCCTACAACACGCAGAATGCTGAGGTTGGGGTGATACTTCCTCATTTTTTTTGGAAGCGCTATTATCTTGTGTGCAAATTCTGTTGATATTGACAAGGTGTCGATTGTGATATATATTGATATTGAATTATTGCCCGGCCCTATTTCAGTGTGTCCTTAATACCCCAGGGTGGCCAATAAAAGCGCCTCATTAAAGCACTGTGTCTGTTGTGTGTGTTAGCAAGCGAGGTCGTTGGGGGGGGGGGGTTGGTTGCATTGTGTGGATTTGCTGTTAAAACTGCAGGAGGACAACAAGACACCCGTACATTACCCTTGTGTTAGCATGTGTCTATATGGGTCCATCTACTTTGTATATCTTATCCGAATAATCCATTTCTCTGCTTGTTAATGCAGGGCATCATCCTCCTGACTCTCTTTCATGCTGTGCTTATTGTAATGAAGCCACACACACACACACACACACACACACACACATACATACACAGACACACACGTGTCACTGCATGATCCGCAGGGGAAGAAAATTACATTTTTTTTAAGAGAGCTTTTTTGTGATCAGTGCACTTGTTTTTCTTGTGTTAAATTTGTAGTATTTTCAATATATTTTAGTGGCATCGCAGCCTGCCGTACTAAAAAAAAAACCTCAACTGTTGTAAAAACAATTTTAAAAAATACATTTGAAAAAAAAAATGAAGGAAAAAAAAACATGTAACCCACAAATGACGATCATATATAATGCCAATAAACATCATATTTTTCATATATTGAGTGTGGCTCTCCTGGTAGGAAAAACCAATGTATTAGTTGACATAGGTGATACCTCCGCGTACACTTGGACATGCATAGAAAGCTTTATGTGTACATACAGTATATTCTGGATGGTTGTTGCTGTTTGGGGTGGGTGACCTTTGCCCTCTTTTCCTTTCCCTCCTCTCATCCAGTGACTTGCTAGCTCATAGCGTGAAGCATTGTAAGCATTGTAAGGTCTTTTTTCTTTGTTTTTTTTTTTTAATACTATGATGTAAAACCTAAAAGTGAAAATGTTTTGTGTCCTCCATCCCACCTACATTCAAACAACAACGGGGAAAAAAAAGGAAACTATCAAAAGTACCGCAGACATTTATGTGAAATAATATGAAATGTTGTGCAGTAAGGAAGGACTTCTGGTGCCTTACAAATAAAGTCAATCAAATCATAATTGGCCTCGCGCACACTCTTCTTTCACTACAACAAAGTGCTGCGAACATAAACATTTAACATGTTGGGTTGGTTTGCATTCAATTTTTATTGAGTGGCAGCAGTGATGTATTTGCTGTAGACGTAGAGCCGGGTGTCATCGACGTGGCCGTGGAAATTTGAGACCGTGGTGGCGTATGATGTGACCAAAGGGAAGCATGTAAAGGATAAAAAGGAAGGGGCTAAGCACTGAGCCTTGGAGGACACCTAGGCGGCTGTGTTGAACTGAAATTTATTCATGCAGATGGACTGGTGGCGGTCGGTGAGCTATGATTTTAATCAGGAGAGAGCAGTGCCCGTGATGTTATGGGAGGACTCAAGACGGGTGAGGAGGATGGAGTGATTTATGGCCTCAAAAGCGGCACTGAGGTCAAGTAAGATGAGAATGCTCGAATGAGTGGGTGTCAGAGGAGAGGAGGAGGTCGTTGGTGACTCTGAGAAGGGCCGTTTCTGTGCTACGATGGGATCTGAAGCCGGTTTGAAATGGTTCGTAAAGGTTATTGGAGTCGAGGTGGGTGTCGAGTTGTGAGGTGACCAATTCGTGCAAGTATTTTTGGGACGATAGTTATGTTGAATTTCGGGGTTGAAGCCGTGTTTTTTAAGGACAGGTGTAACAGGCAATAGCGTCAAGGGTACAGGTGGTGGTCTTTATGCCAGAGAGTAATGTACCAAGTTCAGAGGGGGTGATCTGGGTGAGCGACTGTTCGGTTAGTGGACAAGTGACAGATTTTAGGTTGGGGGCGGAGGAAGTGGAATGGCCAGTTGGTTGTAGATGGTGTCAATTTTTGCCTGAATGATAGAAAAGGAGTTACATTTGTTCGGTGAGAAGGAGTGGGACGCGTTGTCCATGGGTTTCAGGACCTTATTTATTGTGGAGAAGAGGGTCTTGGTGTTGTGGGAGTTGGGACTGGATGAGGCTGGAGTCGTAAGTGGAGCGTGCAGCGTTGAGGGCGTCTTTCTATTGCTGAATTGTGGACCTTGTATGATGCAGTGTGAACCGGGAGTCCGGTTTTGTTGGTTGAGTCGTTTCCTGATTTTCATTAGAGGCGGAGTTTGGGGGTGTACCATGGAGCAGTGTGGGTGAAGGAGACATATATCACTTTTCATCTTGAAAAATTGTCTTTGAAAGATATGAATTCTCAAAAAAAAATATAGACACGGCCTGGTGATGACAAACGCGTTATTGATAGTCTGAAATGCCAAGACTGTTTAACAGGTGTTTTATACAGGAAATATGAGTGCAGTCCACTAGAGCCCGAGGTGCTTGTTGTTCCCTTTACGCCCACAAGGAGGAGCTGTTGTTTCACGTCGAGCATCGTCCAAGGTAAAGCATTGTCACACACGATCACACAAAACTGCTGTTCCCTCGGCTTGACACCTCTTCTCAGCTACGTGTGACTGCACCAACTTTGACCCGTTTACACCTGCTTGTGATGCTCACGCAGTGTTTAGATTTAGATTAATTTAGATTTACCCTTTTACAATACAGTCTCAACCTGCACTTTTTGGGGGGTTTACACACCACAGGGGGGGTCCTAGAGGCGGAAATTCGAGAAGAATGCCACTTTTTGTCTCAAAAATTTTCAACTTTTTTTTATCGTTACTGTTAGCTTGAAACAAAACAACATAGTCTTTTTTTTTTAACTTGGATCTTGAAAACGTGACTTTTTATCTCGAAAAAGACATGTTTATCTTGACCATATGTGCCTTTTTAACACTTTATATATTCAAGAACAAAAATACCACTTTTTGTCTTGGATAAAAAGTTGACAATCTATTATTCACCTGGAAAAAATTAACATTATTCTCATATTACAACTTTATGCTGAAAAGTATGATTTTGCTGTTTTTACCAAGTATAATGTATCTTTTTAACTAGAAAAAGTGTACTATTCCTCTCAGAAAATATATCGTTTTGAAAAGAAAAAAAAAACATTCTCATAATATAACTTTTTTTAATTTGGAAAAAAAATAAGACAAAATGTATAGCATTATATCTTATTTAAAAAAAAGAATTGAATTTTTCATTTTGGAAAATCACCATGTTCTATCTTTTGACTGTTGTCCTAAAAAAAACAAAAACAAACCTCATATGACTTTATTTTAACTATACTAATGAAAAAATGAAAGATTTAGTCTTTAAAATAGATGACCTTTTATCTTAGATTTACCAGAAATACTTACTTAAAAAAAAAAAAAAAAAAAAGACTAATTATAACTATTCTCATCATATGATCATTACATCTTCATTCTTACGCCTTTCCAACTTCTTTTACTTGCTGCTGTCACACTCAGTCGACGGAACCAGGGCGCAAACATCCAATTGTTGACATTTACCCGGAAGTGAGTGTCCTCAAATAAGCAGCAACTAATTAACCACTTGCTGCTTCTTCATGTCTGATCAGCCCGTTTCGATGTCTGTTTCATTGCCATTATTTGATGAAACCAAAAAGAGCGAAAAATGAATGTACATGATTTAGTGCACAATGAGAAGCAGAGCGAGAGAGAAGCGTGCTGATTAATCATGATTGACTCATTGAGAACGCGCTCGTCCTCCATCCCTCCATCCTCTCGCTTTCCTTGATTACCGGGCCCCGCTCCATTTTTCCGTCCATCCTTCCATCGTCAATCTCTCTCTTGGTCTACCACCACGCTGTGTGATTTTCCTCCCCTCGTCGGGAGCGTGTCACTCTCATCCCCTTCATCCCTCCGTCCATCCTTCTTCCATCATCCATCCATCTCAGCGTGACGTCTTGTACTTTCCTTCTTTCTTTCTTTCCTGACAGCGTGACACTCCCTCGCTCCTTCACTCGTACATGATTCATCTTTGTCACATCAAAGATTCCCTCTGTGTTTTTATTTATTTATTTTAACCTTAAAATGTTCCTGCCGATGCATTTGAGGCCATCTGTCGTCATCCCTTATAATACCTGTATGTGTGTACATGTGTTCTTGTCTTTGTGTCTAGTGCAGCCCTTTACTCTTTTAATGTATGGACATTTGTCTATATGTGGACATTTAAGACTTTCATCATGTTAGAATACGTGTGTGCGTGCGTGCGTGTGTGTGTGTGTGTGTGTGTGTGTGAGTGTGTGTGTGTGTGTGTGTGTGTGTGTGTGTGTGTGTGTGTGTCCGAACTTGTATTTCTATCTAAGTGTGGCCCAATTCTTTACATTTACACTTTTACAGTGTGGACATTTGCTTTTGCATTTCATCTGATCCACACCAGAAGTATGCTTGGATGAGTATCTAATTGTTGTGTGTGTGTGCGTGTGCGTGTCTGTGTGCATGTCTTTATATATGGTGTGGCACAAACCTTGACATCTGCGCTGTCACAGTGTCACTGCATGCGTGGCCTTTTTATCTGGTCCACACCAGGAAAATGCTAGGATGAGCTCCTTATTAGTCCGTGTGTGTGTGTGTGTGTGTGTGTGTGTGTGTGTGTGTGTGTGTGTGTGTGCGTGTGCGTGTGTGTGTGCGTGCCGGCCTCAGCTGGAGCAGCAGTGAGTGTTGACACAGCTCGTCTAATGCGGATGCTCCCACAAATGCATCATGGGAAAGCGTCCTATTGGCCTGCTTTTCTAATCTCCCAGTCTGTGCTCTCCGTACATCTCCCCATAGCTCCG